TAAACGCCGGGCTGAGATTCCCCATTCATCCCGACTTGCTACAACTTAGCGGATTTTGTAAAATGCCTTTTAACCAATTACCCCCTAACTCCATTCGCCTGCTCATTGCCTTCACGACGGTATGTCGGGCCCGACTTGGCCGACTCGACCCCAAGTTATGCTTCTATTGCATATGTCTCAGTAAGCTAAACGGTGTGCCTTATCTCATGCGTTGCAAACACACCCAATTTCTAGAGCAGTCCCGGTCGAAAATTCACGGTTGGAAAAACAAATTTTTCTTCATTCGTCCTCCTACCCCCGACACCTTCGACTTCCCTTCCAATTGGCTAAGCGAACCACCCATTCGACTTAAGAAACCAAAGAAAAAGACAGCCTACTAGACCCTTCTCGACCAATGGAATGCTCACCGCCTCCTCGTGGCGAAGCTGACAGCTAGCGACCAGCTTCTTCGGTACTTCAAGTTGTCCAGCCGTGCTGCGGACCCTGTTGATGATATAGGTAGGCTTTGACGCCCAAGTGGGCATCATATCACCTACCCTCTCATTCATGCTAATCATGTACATATAATGTGATTACTAATATTTGCATCTTTTATTTGTCTCGCAGAGGAGCTCATGGAGACCGTCGCCCGCGTCGATGTCCCTAAGACCACCATTGGTACCGACGAGGTCCCACTGACCACCCAAGCCGCCGACGAGGTCTTAGTGACGACGGACGTACCGGAAAAGCAGGCGACTTCAAAGCAGCGCTACCGCCAACCACCAATCAGGAACTTCTCGAAGAAACGCAAGGTCACTTCCCAAAGTGACGAGCCGCGCACCATTATCGTACCGGAGAAATTCGCAGGCAACAAAGACACAGAGGCGTCAATCTCCTACTTCTTCTCCAACTTCCCCGATCGTGAGACAGTCAAGTGGCCAACTAAGGAGAACCGAGCCAGTGATATTATGTTCTATCTCAGTCAGGTATACCCCCACATCTCATCTTTGTACTTTGTGAACTTAAATCATATGAAGTTGATACCCAACCACTTCTATCTCACTCAACAGGTCATGGCCGGTCTAGCCCCCATCCACAACGAGGCTATGGAAGGTGACTCCGATGACATGGAGAAGCTGAAGGCCAAGGTGGCTAAGAGGGATGCACATGTTTCTACCCTCAAGCAGGACCTGGCCAAGGAGAAGGCCGAGAAGAAAAAGCTCAAGGGCGAGCTAGAGGCTCTTTGACTATCCTTTGACGAGCGCGTTGTCCAGGCCAAACAGGAGGCCCGAGATACATACCTCGACTCGGAGTTCGGGACCCGCTTCCTCAAGTGCTACCGAGACAAGCTATTGACACGCTACCACGACTCCAAGGTGTTCCTCAAGCGGGTTGTCACGGACTGCCTTCAGTATTTTCGAGCAGGGGTCGAGCGGACCAAAGCCGAGGCACATGCCCAGGGCTTGAAAGCCTTCTCCGCGGATGAAGACAAGCTGAAGAAAGGCCTTCCTAACCCCGCAGGGTGGAACGGCGACCCATCTCTCCCGTTGACCCATCCTTGGTGGGAGCCAGCCCTAGGGGCTGCCATCGTTGCTGCTGGAGCCGAGATGGAGGTGGTTCCCTAGTAGCAGGGCACGGGGTCACTTCCATCGACTTGCTAGCGATTTTCTTTTGTCATGTAGTCATGAACCCATCTAGTCTTTTGTGGGCTTTTCTATTTGGTCATGTAATCATGAACTTATTTAGTCTCTTTTGTGAACCTTTTTATTTGGTCATGTAACCGTGAACGTATTTAGTCTCTCGATGCTACCTACCGTTAGCTAGCACCATGGATGAATGCAACGCCTTCATTTTGTTACTTACCCATTTTAGTTGCTTGTATGTGCATAACGTATTACTTTTACAAATAGCCACAATATCCCGCTCAAGACGAGAGTCATTCACCAAGCCTTGTCAACACTTAGCATCGTGACGATGGGCTTTTGCGCCTAGCACAATTACTGCTAAGTCTTCCAAGACTCGCATTCTCAACTCTACGCTGTGACCTTTATAATTATAAAGGTCGTCACCGGGCACAACTTGCGCCTTATCCTAACTTCGCGAGCTTAGGCAAGGCTAACAAGCTTTCGCTCTACAAGGGTCGTCATCTAGCTCCGCGAGCTTAGGTGATACTACCAGGCTTTCACCCTACAAGGGTCTTCGTCTAGCTCCGCGAGCTTAGACGAGACTACCAGGCTTTCGCCCTACAAGGGTCATCGTCTAGCTCCGCGAGCTTAGGCGAGACTACCAGGCTTTCGCCCTACAAGGGCCGTCGTCTAGCTCCGCGAGCTTAGACGAGACTACCAGGCTTTCGCCCTACAAGGGTCGTCGTCTAGCTCCGCGAGCTTAGGCGTGACTACCAGGCTTTCGCCCTACAAGGGTCGTCGTCTAGCTCCGCGAGCTTAGGCGAGACTACCAGGCTTTCGCCCTACAAGGGTCGTCGTCTAGCTCCGCGAGCTTAGGCGAGACGACCAGGTCACCAACCTTAGATACATCACACAAGAACATGGTTAAGCTGAAAAAACTTCAAATGCAACTTTATTACTTGTCTTGCTGAAACATAATTGAAAAACAACCAAAAGCAATTAAAAATAATAGGTGCCCAGCTACGTATAATACTTCTTCAAAT